TCGGGTCGGCCAAACATGCTCAGCATGTTCGGCCGACCCGAAGTGCAGAAGGAGTTCGACTCAGCCGATCCAACATGTGGATCGGCTGAGCCGAACCTCCGGCAGGCTACTCGCTGCTGTTCAGCCTATTCTCATAGATGCCGAACAGCAGTGAGTGAATACATTCGGCTCGGCTATTCTGCCCGGTACCTCTGTGGTACCGAGCAGAATAGAAAAACAGTTAAAAAAGTAGAAAAAAGTATATAGAAAATGATTGGGTGGAGCTAGCTGTGACAGCTAGCCCCGCCCAACAGTTCTCTATTGGCCGGGCGGTTCTGCTGCCGTCAGAATAAATAAAATAAAAAACACCATATGAATGCATAGCTAGATTCCTATTGGCTATTTCACTTTGCAATAGCCAATAGCAAACTAGCTATTGCACCCGCCCTCTGCTGCTGTCAATCACCAGAAGGGGACCTGATGGAGAACTGCAGCAGTGGGCAGGTGCAATAGCTAGTTTGCTATTGGCTATTGTGAAGTGAAATAGCCAGGAGGAATCTAGCTATGCATTCCTATGCTGGCTTTTTTTTAACTAACTGAGGGCGGCCAGCGGCCCCATGTCAGAAAAAAAAAAGCCCAAAACAGATCGCAAGGAAAGGTTTACTCTGCTTGATCGAGCAGAGTAAACATTTCTGGGAGAAAGTGTTTCTCTCCTGGGCGGCCGGGAGCCGTATTAGACTCCCAGAGCGCCTGGGAGAGTAATGACAGATGGCGTCCCTTGCTACCAGGTAACCAGGGACGCCATCTGTCATTACACACTGAGAACCCGGAGAGGCCGTTGTGATATCATAGTGGCCCCGCCGGGTTCTCGGTGTGTAATATACCTATCTAAAATATTGCCCCCAGAACAGAAAGTGTGGGAAAACCAGTAAAACTTGGCAGGGGTTCTAAACTTCCCCCACTCTATCTAAAACTAAATAGAAACGTTTTGGGTACAGATAAACTTTAACTTTTCATGGACAAACATTGGACACTTCCATTTATGTGACTCGCAAGTTGCCATTTGTGTACTTTCAAATGTTAGCAAGAAAGGGGATGATGACTCTGGATCAGCCTTGAATAAGTCCAGTGCCAAGTCTACCAAAAGTCAGAAGGAAGCTATTGTCAAGGCAGACGAACAACACCCACATGCAGGCGCTTTTTTTGTATTGAAATATCCACATAATGCAAAAATTAAATTTTGTAGCATTTTACCTACGGAAGCTGTCAGGATAAAGTAAACAACATTCCAAAAAACAACATGGGTCTCCCCAAAAAAATCCATACCAGGTGCTTTGGATCTGGAAAGGATTTTGAGAGGACCCTTTAAAGCGTCCCTTACAATCAGTGATGCTAATAGTGGGTGAAGCCTCGTGTGGAAGCTAAAGGACTAGTTCCCCATCAGGTGCTCTGCTACTGATTGACAGCAGGCAGTAGATGGATTCCATAGCCAATAGCAGGCTGTCTATTGGCTATGCAATCCTCCCACTGCCTGCTGTCAGTCATCTACTTTGTTTACATTCACATCTGTACCCAAAGGGCCTGCAAAAGACATTCAATATTATTGTACAATTGCCCGTTTTGGTTACATCCACCTGAAAATTATAATTTCATAATATTGCGCAATTGCCTACTTTGGCTGCGTTTGCCTGAGAAAGTCCATTCTAATTTATTATACAATCTCCCACTTTGGTTACCATCACCTGAGAAAGACTATCCGATGGAAGTGTACAATCGCCCACTTTGGTTATGTTGGCCTGCGAAAGAAAATAAATTTGTCTGCAAAAGAAAAAAAAAGCCCTTTCTCTAAGAATTCATATATTCACAATGGTCTTATTCGTGCTTTTTGTGTGAATGTTGCACTACTCACCCCACAAATTGTTTCTAAAAACACCTCTTAGTAAGCTTTTCAGCCTGACTTTGCATCTTACATTTCCCATGAGAAATCCACATGGAACATTTCCAGTAAATTGTGCAAACAAGAAAAATGTCAACACATTTACTCAGTAGCAGTAGATTAGTTGGAAAATTTGTCGCCTGTGCTTGTTCTTTATCATACTATATAGACCATTTGCATTGTGCTAATAATGAATATTTAAGTGTTTAGGGCTGCTGCCAAATGCAGTCTTGTCAGTGCAGATCGCCAAAGAACAATTTCTGCCTTCAGAAAAGGCAAAGTACAGATATACAATAGATTGATTGATTAGAGTGATTTTAATAATCGTATATTTATTTAATAAATCTCATAATTAAAGATGAGTGAAAATAAGAGTTTTCATTACCACAACATTTTTCTAAAAATTGGGAGATTTTGGCAGAATTTTCCCAATTTGGTGAAATGCATTGGAATCAGCGAGGAAGGCAAAACAAACGTGTTTTGTTACATAGTTGTAAAGCTTGTATGGTTGAAAAAAGACACGGGTCCATTTAGTTTAACCTATATATGTGGGTGTACGTGTCATTATGAACATCCATATCCCTGTAGGTTTTGTGAACTGAGGAACTCACCTAAATATTTTTTTAATTACCTACGCTCTCAGCTGATACCACAAACAGTGGAAGGGAGTTCCACATTTTTACTGCTCTGACAGTAAAAACCCTTATGCAGTTTAAGAATAAACCTCTTCTCTTCCCACTTCATGTTGTGGCCACGTGTCTTTAGCTCTTTAGCTTTATCAGTTTTTTCCCTTATACTGCAGATCCCATTGATAGATTTGTATGTTGCAATCACATCCCCTCTTAAGTGCCTCTTCTCCAAGGAGAACGGAAAGAAGGGGAGGGAAGGAGCGCAACTGACTGGCGCAGACTTTGTGGAGGTGGATGGACTAGGGGAAAAAAAAACAGGGAATCATGTGAAAGTGGGTGGAAATTAGAAATGGGCACTCATGTGGGATGGGATAGATGGGCACACGAGTGATGACCTCCTGGTGATGTCGTGAGGTCTGGTTGGGGTGACAGGTGGGTGTTTCCTCCACGCCGTTCTGGACCTACCACTCCAAAAATACCCTCTTCTTCCACCTCTGCCCACTGAACACCCACAAGTCACCCCAACCAGACCTCACAACATCACCAGGAGGTCTTCACCCGTGTGCCCATCCATCCCATCACACGTGAGTGCCCATTTCTCATTTACACCCACTTTCACCTGATTCACTGTTTTTTTTTTTTTCCCTGGTCCATCCACCACCACAAAGTCTGCGCCAGTCAGTTGCGCTGCTTGCCGTTCAGCATCACACAGTTAGACACCCCGGTCTAACAACGCAAGGAGCTGCATACGACACACCAACCCCCCCCAGGAGTGCGCTAACCAATCAGTCTCCTTTTTCCAACTTTCTTCTCCAAGGAGAACAAGTATAATTTATGTAGTCCTTCATAATTTAGGTCCTCCAACCTGCTTATTGATTTTGTTGCCCTTTTCTGAGGACTGGTGAATCAAACTGAGCTGTATACTCAAGGTGAGGCTGAGCCATATTTTTATGTGGTAGAGTTATGTTTTTATCTCTTGAGAAAATACCCTGTCTTAATGCATGGTAATATCCTGCTGGCTTTGCTAACAATGAGTCTGTGGTCTACCAGGGCCCCCACATCTTTCTCTGTGCTGATTTTTAAAACTGAATTCCAAGTAGAGATAAAATGCACAAACCAATAGCACTGCAATTATTTACCTTCATTAAATGTATTTTACAGAGCTCAGTAGCTCAAAATGTGAAGTGAATGAGTGAATAAGTGAACATTATCTCAATTTACCATATTCTGCATTCGCTGTCATGTAAAACTTTCTCTTCCTGCTGCCTCTCTCATAAATCACATTTCATCTTTTGAGGAAGGATTAAATCTGATTGGTGGCTCTGAGAAACCTTTTAGCAATCCCATTTTCTTCCATCAGGTTTTTTCCTTGTGAAATAAAAACATTAGCACAGTGGGTGTGTTGAGGATTTCTTCTCTTGAGTTGCAAGTAGAGGGGTTCTCAGACCACCAGGTTACTGTCAAAATTAGGAAGGGTGGACTAATGCATTAGGGCAATGGCTAGCTACAAAACTGAAATACTGAGCTGTCGTCTATGCTCACAGTAAGCTGCTCAAAGTTTTAGCTGGAGCATACTCATAAAAAGCAGTTAATGCCTTGTGAAAGCTAGTTACTGAGTGTCAGCTGACTTTACTGTCATTGTGTGCCTATAACGGTGAACAACTGCAGAATGTTTCTGTTGTATATTTGCATTTAGCTTATTCACCAGTCCACTCTTGTGATTATTCAGTAAACCAATGCAAGGAGCAAATGTGATAAATGCCAACTGCAGTGCCAGATGAACCACTTAGATCCATCTTGTACTTATGTCTAAATTAGCCCTTGATCTGCGATGCGGGAGAGCATGCGTTCCTGCACACGATCCCGCATTGCATGAGATCACATGTTGCGCTGCCATTATATATAGTCGTTGCATGTGCATTGCATCACATCACAATGCACGGTAACCTGTTACCATGCATTCTGGTATGATGAGATTTTTTTTTAAAAAGGTGCATGTACTTCTTTGAGTGTGATTTAAATGAATAGGCTGAACTTCCTGACGAAGGGACCAACTACGGTTCTGAAACGTTGCTTTTAGCCCTATATCACTATGATTGCTTAGTGTCCTAATAAAAGGCGTTTGCACAATGGACCGTGGATTGCGGGTGACTTTTCCTTGAATTCTGAAAATAAATGGCAATGCACCTGACGCATGATAGGTGCATTGCTTGGTAGTGTGCGTTAATTGCACTACACTGTGGGAATAACGCAGGGTGGGCCCTGTCAGGTGGGCCCCATGATTCCTAATTGTGCCCTGGTTCCTGCACTCTGCGTTAGTTATGGAATAAACCTTGCACCCAACTTTCAGTTGCTGGGTCACACATTTCTCAAATCAGCAAAACATTTAATTCCCTGGAAAAGGTTAAACATTCATCTGCTGGTCCGAGTCTTCAGATGCCCGAACACGACACAATCTGACAATAGAGGCTTTGAAATGAAAGGTTTTTTTTCTTTCAGCAAACGTTGTCTGCTTTTCTTAAGTATTATAAACAAATGTATCAGATTGTGCTTCCAAGGACGAAAGGGAAGCCTTGAAAAACCTGTGATTGGCTGCATGTTCTGTGCTCTCCCACAGTTCCTTTTAATTGGCTTTGAGTGAAGTTAGGATTACAGTTTTCTTTTTTTTTTCCCCTCGGTCTGTGCTGCGTTAGAACAACTTCGCACTATTCTGACGTGACGGCATATCCTGGACTATTATTCCCTGAGTAAACTGCTGAAGGCAGCGCAAACATGAGCCTGTGTGCGAGGAGAGTGACACTGCCTGCCATCACCCCACTGCTGCTCCAGAAAAGGGTAGGGCACTGCTGTGTGACTTGTTCTGTCAATGACTGTGAGGTAGGATAGAATGCAGGAACTGCAAAGAGCTGCGAGACAGTATATGTGTGTGCTATGTGGCTGTAACATTGTTTTAAGATAGCTACAAAGATTTTAAAATAATCCAGGTACGCATTTGTACACATTGTATATATTTGTGTTCAGCATTCTTATACCTTCTTGATATACTGTTTGGTGTTTACTTTTTCTTCTGTTTATCTATTTTTGAAACGGCAATACAAAATTATGACTTAAAAAAAAGTAATAATCCAGGTACGCTTTCGCTTTAGAGTTTGTGGAGCTGTCTCAATATAGATAACAGCAATGTGGTGGAAAACTCTCTATACTCATCATGTTGCATAGGTGTGAATGGGTGCCATAGAAAATAATGTGATTTCCATTATTGTGCATTCTAGATTTATGGGAGAAACAAGATGTCACCAGCACCCCGCAGGAAAGTGTCCTAATGAATATCTTTTTATTGATGCATATTGTCACAGCAAAAGCAAAGTTTCAGGGTCTCCTTCATCAGGGTCAGTATGATGTAGGGGACCCTGCGTGGCCCCCGAAATGTTGCTTTTGCTGTGACAATATGCATCAGTAAAAAGACATTCGTTGGGACACATTCTTGCGGTTTGCTGGTGACATCTTCTGATTTGTACGACGCCATCCGCAGTCACTTCAGTACCCATGTCTCAAGGAGTGCAGCGGGACGCATTCTGGACCTTCATAGTGGTGTGACGGGAGACGTGCGGGAAATCGCACAAGTGTGAACTGGGGGCTTACGGACAAATGTTTCTGAAAGGATTGAGGTATGGAGTTGAAATTTAACAGCCCCTTTGCCGGAATAAACCATCCATGTATATGTCTGTGTCTCCGTCATAAGATAATCAAGTGTATACAAAACACACATTCTGAGGAGTTGCACACATTGGTATTATTCGGCACCATG